TATATATATATATATATATATATATATATATATATATATATATATATATATATATATATATATATATATATATATATATATATAATTTCATTTGATTCATACAATTTGATCGTGTGTTTCAATCACCCGAAAAGATTGGCCTGTGCTTTGTCCAACTTCAATCCTACCGACTCTACGACCTGACAGATAGAGCCAATTGCAAAGAAGTTTATGAGGAACTTTGGACATAGTGCCATAGTCTTTACTGCTTTTCCTTTGCTTTTGCCTTAAGAAATGCTTAGGTTCTTTTTAGCATGACAAAAGGGCTAGGTATAGCTTTGCATTTCTGTATCATGGCTTATATTTGTAGCTGGTACATTTCGTTGAATAGCTTTAAACGGCGATGCTTGATGCAAGTCATGCCCTTTTTGACTTTTGGAACATCTGATCTTTTTTATGTTTTATTATATGAGGCATGGATGTGAACATCTGACAAGATGACATGCCAATGCAAGAAATCCTAGAAAACTATTTCAGCTTGCCTACATGTATTTTTCTTGCCTTTGGGCAGTATATATTAGTCAAACTATAGTTAAATATCCTTTCATTGTTACTGTTGATGTCTTCTTGGGTGTCACTTTATCTTCTCCCATTATTCACTCTAATTGACTTATCTTGCAGCACCATTCATATGTCTCCTTTAGAGGTGTCTATGTTGACTCAAACAGGTTATCCTCGAAAAGAAGTACACCTAGTTGTTCATGCAAACATTTTTATTTCTAATATCTAGTAACCTAATGCACAGACATGGTACTGTACTCCTTGGATTTAGCTTCCCGGTGCTTGTTATTTACTCAAAGTCGCGCTACCATGAAAAATTGTTTATTAGTGAATTAAGAGAGAAAAAGTTGCATTATGCTTTACTGATTGGAGGATAAAGGGTAACTAAATTTTTTTTCTAGTGTTGGGTACCTGCGATTGCCAGTAGCACATCAAGCATGTTAGATGAAAGGGAAGCGCGGGATGAGAACAGATTTGAGTTTGAGATAGATGTAAATAAAGAGTTTCATGCCTTCACAGCAGAAGTCATTTCTCAAGTGGCATTTGGAAGTAGCTATGAGGAGGGAAAGCAAAATTTTCAATTACAAGAAGAACAAATGCTTCTTGTTTCTCTTGCACTAAGAAGTGTGTATATTCCAGGGTTCAGGTGAGATTTAGTTATTAATTCTCTATCATATTTGCTTGAACTTGAGACACTATGTTTGTTATGTTTTGCAAGTCCAATAGAATTCTTAGTGCGAAACATACTTTTCTTGTCACTGACTCTAAAGCATACGTACACCCCCATCTTTAGTAGTTGGACAGAGACAATAAAGATACCCTTGTAAGATGTTAGAAGCATACGTCTTGAGGACTCACATGACAAGATGATACAATTGTAAAAGCCAACTAAAGAAGCTTTTGAATGTGTGCTGATTCTACTGAAAGCAGGGCAATGTAAACAAAGAAAGCATGCTTTATTATTTTAGATACTGATCTATACAGCTACTAGAGAAATTAATACTCATTTGAAATTTTCATACATATTTAGTTTTCCTTTCACTTGTAATGACTACAGTGACATGCTCGTGTGGCACACTTAAAAGTTCATATTATGCAAGGTTCATTGTTTTGGGTATCGGACCTGTCTCAAAGATTTGTTAGATCAATATGTACCAGTCAATACTGGTGTACCAACACATGGTACATTGGTATGTACCGATGTTTCCGGGAGGAAGAAGAAGAGGGAGGAAGGGACGATCGAAAGAGGAAGGAGGAAGGAAGATGGAAGCAAAGGAAGTAGTGGAGGAGGAAGAAGAAAGGAGGAAGAGGAAGAGTAGGATAGATATAGTTACTTGAGAAGTGATTAAGGCAAAGATTGTGCATGGCAGTGTGCAAAGAGGTCACGGCAAGCAGAGGTCGCTGATAGCGGGAGCGGAGGTGTCGGTCGCGGTGAGAAGATGGAGGCAAGAAGTCACGGTGAGAAGTCGTAGCATTGGTTGCGATTGCATGAGAAGTGAAGGCGGCAAGGAAGTGAGATTTAGGGTTTCCCACTTTCGCTTTTATATGGTGAACTTAACCAAGGGCGGTTCGCTTACGGGTTGGCGCTCGGACTTGTACATGTCATATGTTTTGTACCGGCCTCGGTGAAACATAAGTTGTGCCTTCATTATCATAAAGTCTTCTATTGAATATAATTGTTTAGTAGTTATTTCAAAATCATGTCTATTTTAATTTTCTTTGTGGAGCTATAGAAATATGGTTAGAAAGAACCATGATAATTATCTTCCATGCTAACGTCTTGATTGTTTCCTCTAGCATTCTTCCTAACTTGCTTTAAGATTACTTTGCAAAATCTTATTCTTGAATTTGGGACCACTTCTTCAATATCTACTTTTAACATTACAACAAAAGTCTCATATATGATAATTTTTAGTCTTATCTTAAATACAAAATTCATACCTCAAACTTGAAGGAGGATTTGTAAACTTTTTACAAATTTTATAAGATAATTATGAGACCAATAATACTTTAGGGATCTGAGTGTTGGGCAGTTAAGGAATAACATATATAAAAAGTTTGTATTGTCGAGATGAGATGAGACTATTGAGATGGATGTATGGGTTAGTAGGAAAGATAAGAAAAGAAATACTTTTATTCGTGAACAATTAGATATTACTTTAATAAAAGATAAGATGAGAAAAAATCATATAAGTTGATATGAGCACATGCTTAGGAGACGTCCGGATGCAGTAGTCAAAAGAGGTGAAATGATTAATGTTAACAATGTGAGCAGAGGTAGAGGATGACCTAAAAAGACTTTAATATAAACTATAAATAAAAATTTAAATACCCTAAATTTAACTAGACATATGATTTTTTTTCATATCTCAATGACGGTAAAAGATCCATGTAATCGATTCAAAATAATTAGGACTTACGACTTTGTTGTTGCTGTAGTCACTTCAATTTATACTTGAAAGATTTAAATGCTTTCTCATATGGGATAGTGATACAACATCAAATTGGTTTAAGTGTGTCATTAATTAATAAATATAGAAATATTTTTTCAATCTCAAATATGTTAGTACACTTGCAATCAGGTGTTCAAGTTGATAAGGATCGTTAGTTGAATCCACTGTTGAAAAGATTTACAACAAATGTTTGATTGTGTTAACCTTGGATGGGCCATTTTCATAGAAAATGGAACCTCAAGTTGGAAAGGAAATTGTAGGTAAATTGTTATGTTGGGTCCTTATGAAAGTAACAGACCTGCAAGCTTGGTGTGAACGTAGGTTGAATAAAGTAGTGTCTCATAATCAATAAAATTTAGTCTTCTAATTCTAAGATCTATATTAGGAAGAGTGGTTTGATGCCTTTTTATATTGTAAAGTGAGTTGCTGTCTATTCACTGCTGTATATAATAGATTTATTAAAAATGGTGCCTTGAAGATTAGTTGCATAGCAAATGAGCTAACTGAAGTGATTTTTTACAATGCATTTTTGCTTTGTCTGTATCTGTTGCTGTGGAAATATTTTTTGTGGTGGCCAATTGCTAAATATTGGAACCTGCAATTATGATAGATTACAAGCTATAGAGTAATAGAAGAAACTGTTTTTAAGTGTTTTGCAGAAATCTGTGTCTTGTGTTGATAAAATCTGTGATATGTAACCTTTGTCCACAAATAAATTGTAAGTACCTTGTGCATTTAATAACTTGAGACTAAGAAGATATTTTATGCACCTCCTTTTACAGGTTCGTACCTACAAAGAAGAATAAAAAAAGATGGAGGCTGAATAAGGAAATACGGAACTCTTTGAGAAAGTTGATCGAAATCAATGGCAACGAGTGTGAAAGTTCTAGGAACTTGCTTGGTCTAATGATTTTAGCTAATAAGAATGATGAGGAAGAGAAAATGGGGATTGAAGAAATTATAGATGAGTGCAAAACATTCTACTTTGCTGGGAAGGAAACAACAGCGAACTTTTTGACATGGGTAATTCTTCTTCTTGCGTTGCATGAAGATTGGCAGAAGAAGGCTCGAGAAGAAGTTGTTTGTGTTTTTGGCCTCCATAAACATCCAAATGCAGAAGGCTTAGGCAATCTTAAGATTGTAAGTTACTCTCCCCTGACTACGAAGGATGAAATATTTATTATTCAAGTTATATTGATTAACTAAACTGAACTTTGGAATACTGATCTCTATTTTTTATATGATCTTGCACCCCTTTGACCACACTCCAAGTAACCTTAGGCCTCATTTGGTTCAACACCATATAATGATAAATGAGTTTTATTGAAATGATTGATTTCTAGGATCGAGCTATTTTCTGTACATCCACACATCTCTTATGGATCGGATTCTGATCCATGCCACTCCTCCTTATCCAAGTAATCAATGAAGTATCATCTCTGACCAGCTCAAGTTCTCATAAACTCTGTTTACTCCATAATGAAGATTCTTATTATATGTCATTTGTAGGTAAGCATGGTGCTGAAGGAAACTCTCAGATTGTATCCACCTGCTGTGGCGCTCAATAGGCTAACCACAAGGAGTGTCAAACTAGGCAATCTTGATGTCCCATCAGGCACACACATTTACATTCCGCAAATCGTCATTCATCATGATGTTGAAGTATGGGGAAGAGATGCCAATGAATTCAATCCATCGAGGTTTGCAGATGGTAAAGGACACCATCTTGGTGCCTTCCTTCCCTTTGGGATAGGGTCCACGGTGTGTATTGGCCAAAATCTAGCACTTCTTGAAGCTAAAGTAGCTCTCGCAATGATTCTCCAGCGGTTCGAGTTCACCGTCTCACCCTCTTATGTTCATGCCCCCATGCTGCTGATGACACTCCAGCCTCAGTACGGTGCGCAAGTTCTCATGCGAAAGATTTGATGCGTTGTTCTGTCTTTACTTGCGTCGAATGGCATGTAAATTTTCCAGAAATGTTAACTGGAAATGTATTTACTTGTGGATCACCTAAACTTAATTTGCGTGCGACATTATTAATATCAAACATTTGCTGGTAAGCAGCTTGTTGGAATTTGGACTCTGGTGTTTCTATCGAACCTTTGTCCAGATCAGATGAATATACAGAAGAAATATTTTCCTTGTTTTTATTTTTCGCATCAAATATTCACTTGCTTTCTGAGTAAGCTACATGAAACATTTCTAGGCTGACTTCACAGGAAATCATCTCCAGTGATCTATACAGAAGTGCTTCAGATGTTAGGCTTATCCAACAAGAACAGAATATTCCACTTGAACCGAAAAGAATTCTTTGAAGGAAAGATGTATAGCTTTAACAACGCTCTTCGACATTTGAGAAGGATCAGTTTGAGTTAAGAAAGCTTGCTGTTTAAAGAGGAAGATGCCACACTCGAGACGAAAGAGTGCAAGCAAAACAATGCCCAAACTCACTATACTTGCAAGCAACCCTTCTCCCCTCCACCTGAGTGAGCAACACCGATTGCTCTGGGTATAAATGAGGGAGATCAAATGCTAGTAGCAGGTACTTCAAAGCAGCAACGATGGCAGCAGAAGCCCAGCAGTCCACTGACAAGATGATCAACTCATCCTCCTCCAAGGCCCCCAGAGATGCTGCCCCGACCATAGGAGACAGGGCCTTCAAAGGAGCAGGAGACCTCATCAAACTCCTCCCGAGCGGGACTGTCTTCCTGTTCCAGTTCCTCAGCCCTCTCCTGACCAACACAGGCCACTGCAGCACCGTGAACAAGTACTTGACCGGCGTCCTCCTCTTCGTCTGCGGCTTCTCCTGCTGCTTCTCCTCCTTCACCGACAGCTACGTCGAGGACGATGGCAGGATCTACTACGGCGTGGTGACCAAGAACGGGCTGTGGCTCTTCTCCGACCCCAAAGCCGGCACAAGGGACCTGTCCAAGTACAAGCTGAGAATGGCGGACTTCGTCCACGCCTCCCTCGCGCTGGTGGTGTTCGCGGTGGTAGCGCTGCTGGACGACAACACGGTGTCGTGCTTCTACCCGTCGTTGGTTTCGAAGGAGAAGACGCTGGTCATGGTGTTGCCTCCGCTAGTGGGCGGCGTCGCCAGCTTCATCTTCATGCTCTTCCCCAACAGAAGGCACGGAATCGGGTACCCTCCATCGGGAACCACCACCAAGGACTCTTGAGTGATGCCAAGAAGACAAAAGTGGCGTTACATACAGTCCGAGTCCCTTCAAGTAAACTACTGCTCTGTCTCGCGTCTTTAGAGAAGGAGAAGGAGAAGGATCCTCTCCTTTTCCTCTTCTGATTTGTTGGTTTATTGTGTGCGCGCCACAAACACCTCCTCATCAGTTCATCTTCCGCAATCAATATTGGTTTCTACTATGTTTCATTTAACATACATACTCATGGTTGGATTTGAAGCCACCACCAAACCACATTGAGACAACAATTTTTACATAGATTAAAATTTATTCTCTAATTTTATTTTTCCCCCCCACCCATCAACATATTTAATTTAATACGTGCTTCCAAAACTCGCACGAAACAAATGACAAATTCGGATTTGATCTCCACGCCATCTCATTCCAGCCGAAGCAACCGCCGCAGGTCCCTGGTGGCCGAGCAATCCACCACGGCTGCCGTCGCCGGGGATCCTTCTTTCCTCCTCGAGAAGCGCGGCAGCGGCAGAGCACGAGGCGACGGCGAGAGAACGAACCCGGTTGCCGCGTCCATGTCGTCCGGAAGTAGCGGCGCGGCCACAGGCGGCAGAAGCCGAAATTCCCTGGGGATCGTGGCCGGATCCGGACCCAGCGGTTCCGCGCCTAACACCGCGCGGTCCAAGTCGGCGACGGGAGTGGACGTCGGCTCGCCCTTCTTCGCCATCATGGCCTCCAGTGACTCGCCCCGGCGGAGGATCGTCACCCGTCCCATTGCCAGACGGGCTGCGCCAGCGAGGGAGCGGGGCTTGGCCGGCTCCTTGGGGGAGGCGTCCCTCCTCCTGCGAAGGGGCTTGTGGTTTCGGAGGGTGGGGGAAGGGCGGACGAGGCAGTCCTGGGGGCGCAACACCTCGGTTCCCATGGTGGCGATCTTTGGCGACGAACTCGAAGAGAGAATCAGAGGGAATGACGACCCAATCTACTTCAACCCTCTGTCCTTACTCTTCTTCTTCTTCTTCTTCCCCCTCCTCCTCTCGTTTCCGATCCTAAAGAAGGAGAAGAAGAAATCAAGAAGCGAGGAATGAGGGAGGAGCGTCGTCTCGGGGCTACATTTATGGACTCCATCGCCATCGCCCCACGCGGTAACGCCGTCCCTTCAAAGCAAAAGGTACTCCTCCTTTCCGTAACGCCGTTCGTTCGTTCGTCGTTTCACATTTCCATCATAATAAAAAAAAAATCTCTTAATATTCTCTCAACATCGAAGTAGCGCAGCATTAATATCAATTAAAACCTGGATCATAATCAATTATAAGGCATAATTAAAGTGAAAGCATAAAAAATATTGGCCCCACTTGATGTGACTTGTTGGGTATAACATTGGGGTGGCACCTTCGTGGAACTTGTATTATTTTGACCCAGCGCCACTCCTCTTTAATTAATTAGGTGGTGAGTAATGCTGTCAATTTGTTTTCTTCTCTCTTTTACTTTGAATAAAGTATATTGACAATAAGATATCGGAAAGAAAGAAAGATAATGGTGTTGCGAAAATGTGCTCATTCTGTCGTTCTTTAATTAGGCGTAGTTAATTTGGTCAATGATTGTGCTTTGCTCGTATGTCTCTGGCATTAGCATAGCTAATTATATATTTTAATAATTAATTATTTTTAGTATAAAATTTTTTATTTTTAAAAATTATATTGAGATCTCTATACTTATTAAAGTGAAACATTCAATCTCGTTTTTATTCATATCATCGATTCTGTTGATAAAAATATCTGTAACATTTATGATTGAGCATAAGGTTCAAAATAAAGATAACCTATTTTTTTTTCGAGAAAGGAAAAGAAATATATTCAATTTTTTTTTTCATAATATAGAGTGGACATGATTAAAAAAAAAACTTAATTCTCTTTTAAATAGTAATCAATTTAGGCTTCAGTATGAAGGCATCTGCATTTTTTTTATCTCAGTAAAAGATTTTTTCTGTAAAAAAAGATATAATAGCATGTGTTTTTCGAGTCTTCCATGTGATTAATATGTCGTTGAACGAGATCTAAACTATTTAATTTGGCGTTGACCGTTTGACCGCGTCTGTATGAATCTGACCATTTTGCGTGGATTCATTCCAGCTCTATGATGACATCTTACTATAAGATAAAAGTAAGATAATATATTTTTGAACACATATAAAGTATATTATGTACATTTTTGCACGCTTTGCACGAATTTTTTTCATTTTAAGTCATTCACCGGCAAAATAATATATTAATTTTGTTTAATTTTTAGGATAAATTATTGTAAAAAACTTGGGACTTTCTCATGTCCTTTTTTTCTCGAAAAGATATTTTCTGTTTATCAGAATCTTTTTAAGTGTCTATAACAATATATATATATATATATATATATACATATATATATATATACATACATATATATATATATATATATGTATATATATATATATATACCTCTTGTGAAAAACTAAAAAAAGATAGAAAAGCCTTTTCGAGGAATTTGTACCAATTTTTATACTTCCACTGCAATCCAATCATTTGGACATCAACAAATCACTACCGTCCGTACCCATCGTATCTATGATGCCATGGGATGACAAAAATGGCACAACTGACCCGCTTCTGTACGTGACTCGTGAATGGAGAAAGGAGTGGTACCCCGGTGGGCCACCCGAAAACGAGTAACAACAGGAAGTTCCAGTACAGATCCCGGTTGCGTGCAGCCAACCTATCTTTGGAGTTCCGTCTACAACTCCGGTTCCGCTGCCCCGCCGCTGCACGGCTCTTACCGTGTGCCCCTGGCTTGGGCGGGCCTGTAGCGGGTGTCGTAGAAGCCTGGCAGATCCGACCCAAGATTTCGACCTGTCCACCATTAATCCAATTGAAACTGACGGGTGGGTTGCTGCAACCCACAACATTGGAGCCGACTCTAGGCACGACACATGACATGGCACATGGTACGTACCGGAGTGCCTTAAGTTGGGTACCGAATCGGGCAGTGTTTAAATCTTATTCCGACCTGGATTAGGGCCAAATTTCGGGTGCAGACTTCTGGATTCGTCTCTATCGAGATCCGATCCAACGAGACAAATGACTGCCAGCGGATCATCGGAAGCCCTTTGGTGATTATTGTATAGGAGGCAGAGAGAGAGAGAGGAGAGAGAGAGAGAGGTGAACACGAAAGCAACGGCGAAGAGGGAGCGGAAAAAAAAGAAAAAGGCGAGAGAGAGAGAGAGAGAGAGATGGTTTTGGTATGGTTTTTATTTGTTGTTGGTGGTGAATTGGGGGGGTCGAAAACGTGAGGAAGAGGAGAGATGATGATGACGGCGGTGAAGTCAAATCGTGCAGCGAGGAGGTGAAGAGGAGGAAGAGAAGGGGACGCAGGATTGGGAATCGGATGGTATTGGTCATCGGCGGTGGGAGTTGGCGATGGGCGGCCGGGGGACGGTGGGCGGTGGTTGGTAGCGGAGGAGGAGGACGAGGAAGAGGCGAAAGGTGGGAGGCGGGGGGATGAGGAGGGGGAAAGGTAAGAACGGCCTGCTTCCGAGCTCGTTGCGGATCATATCGTCGTGCCTCAAGACCGTGTCGTCAAACGCGGGGTCCGTCGCGAGTACCGTCCGATCCGCCGGGGCGTCCGTCGCCGCGTCGATCGCGGTGCCGGCAGAGGATGAAAAGGACCAGGTCATTTATTTTTAATTAAAATACAATTTCTCCCCCTTTGCTTGCTATTGGGTGAAAGATTGGTGTTCTGGTTTGTGGGTTTTTGATGTTAGATCTAGTGTCTTGTTAGTTTGATCGGTTTGTGATGGCATGTTGTTGTATGATTTGGATTTTGTTTCTTTTATGATCGGATATACTGTGATGCACGGGAGGTAGTTGATGGGACTTCGATTTGTGGCTCTCATGTTTCTTGATTATCCAAATGGACTTTGATTCGTGGCGCTCACGTTTCTTGATTAGACAGGTTTGTGGTTGTCAGGTTTTAGCGATTTACAAGAACAGATTTTTCCCCAAGAAGTTCATTAGGAGGAACTGGGAGTTGGCAGAGCTAGTTGTTAATTGTACATAAGTAAAATTAATTGAAAGGTGAATGAAAACCGTCATCCATCTGGAAAAAAACAAAATTATATCGACCACAATAACCTTAGGGATTTCTAGGGCATTTTATTATAGTAGAAATGACGGCTTGTCATTGTCAGGTTTTAGCAATTCACAAAAACAGCTTTTCCCCTTAGAGCTTCATTAGGAGGAACTGGCACTTGGCAGAGCTAATTGTTAAATGTACATAAGTAAAATTAATTGAATAGAGAATGAAACTTGTTATCAATCTGAAAAAAAAAAAAAAAAAATTATATTGACCACAATGTCCTTATGGATTTCTGGGGCCTTCTTTTAGTAGAAATGATGTCTTGTGGTTGTCAGGTTTTAGTGATTCACAACAACAGCTTTTTTCCCCCGAGAGCTTCATTAGGATGAACTGGGACTTGGCAGAGTTAAGTGTTAATTGTACATAAGTAAAATTAATTGAATGGAGAATGAAAATTGTTATCCATCTGAAAAGGCAATTATATTGACCACAATATCTGTAGGGATTTCCAGGGCATTTTGTCATAGTAGAAATGATGATTTCGTGTTCATGATTTTGACAAGAATGACTCATTTGATTCTTGAAAAACTGAGGAAAATATGTCCTTTATTGATGTCACTCAAACAATTAATAAGGGTTTGCATGTCCATTTATTTTGATCCTTGTATTTCTCCTTTTGTGTGTATTTGTTCATGTATGTGAGTGCATGCCTGGAGTTTGGTTAGGTCAAGTTTTTGACACTATGAGACACAAAATTTGATGTATCTGTGTATCGTCGAGACTAGACACAATTTTATGCGGTCAGGTAGGTTCTGTTTTAAGTAAACATCATTTGGGTTGAGTCCACTAGACTCTAATTTCAGGTTCTTTATTTTCCGCCAATTTCTTTATATTTTCATGATTCCTCTTTTAGGTATATATTAGGAATGTTTTAGAGTTGCATTTTTGTGATGGATTGTGAGACATTATTTCAATGTGGTTTTGTATTGGTTGTCCTATTAGGTCATTGGGATTTGTGTTTAAGAATATGCAGAGATGTTTTTTTTCTTCAATGTGATTTTATATGAACTTTTTAAGAGAAGGAAAATATTGTTCCACAAGTTTAACTTCACAATTCTCATTGAG